CAATATCTTAGAAATTAAATCTCATACCCACTTAGTCACATTAGCATGTTATCACATAGCATACCAGGTTATTCCTAATATCATCTTACAAGGGAAACCATTGGGGTAATAACCACTTTCCACGATCCCAAAGTATTCAAACCCGGTAGCTCTGATATCAAGTTGTAATACTCTGAAAAATTATAATAAGATCAACCCACGACAGATATTAAATAGTAACAGATCCCTGGATATAATGTTCTTTCATTATAAGATTTCATCTCCTTACAAAAGTGTAATATATGCAGTAATACATTCATAAGTCCTAATCCTGAATCTATAGCATGTGTCATAAGAAAATATTGTAAATAGGAGTTAAATAGATATAATAATGCCTTATTGGCTACATATTTCCAAGACAGTTCTTGGTTATAACAAAACTAAGTTTGAACTCAATAAAAATAAAGCCCTACGCTTGTACAAAATATACAAAAATAACCACACCAAAAAAAATAATAATAATAAATAAAATAAATAAATAAACAGAAACTTTTGGCTCTCAGTCCTCCCAAGCTATTGCCTTGGTGAAAGCGTATCGTCAACACCTGTAAATGGTTTTTCACATAGGATGAGCCAAAGCCCAATAAAGATAGTCTAACACAGTGTATGAATCTTAACAGATTTATAAGGTGAATGCATATGCAATACTCATGTCAAAACATTTTATATCTCTTTCCAAAACCATGTTATGCCAAGTTTACATCTCAAATTTAAGAATTCATTTCATTTACAATAGAAAACAGGGCAGTGGATACAACGCTGGGAATCTCTAGGACGTGTTTGCAAGTAGGCTACAAGCACTACCAATTTGTCATTTTTACCAGTATTAACGGGAAGGCTCGACAACTAACCTCAGGGTTTCTGAAGTTTCACCAAGGACACACAGGCAAACATAATACCACAACTATACTCTGACCCAAATTCACCAAGGTATTCACCATTTTTTATCAAAACAACAACAATTTCAATGTGTTAAATATGTTACAATGCTCAAGCAAATGGATGAGAAAATAATTTCAATTCACCTAATTCTCATGCAATTTCTACAACAATCATAGCTATCCTTCACCAATAGCCCAAAACAAATATCTCTAAACAGATAAATAATTTTCAACATGGTTATACTTTCCAACATTTCTAAAGAGGAGTGATAATTTAGATCCAACTCCACCACCATCGTCATCATTGTTCCAATTCCATAAAACCAATATCAATTTCATTTTTTCTTTACAAAAATTAAATTCCCACAATTTAAGGCAAAAACCCCATTTCTTTAAAAATTAATTTCCATGGATAAAATCCACCATTTATCACAACCTAACCATTTTTACAAAGCCACAATCATATACAAGAGCCCATTTTGAAAACACCTCTTTTGATTTCAAAAACGAAACCCTAGGTTTATCCGAAAATCCCCAAATCACTGTCATGTTTAGAAAAGCAAATAACTAAGTTAAAAATCACAAAAATTGTCAAAGTAATCCCTACCTCAAAAACAAGAACCAAGAAGAACAAGAGTTGAAACTTGACGAAATTGAAAACGAACTTTGCTCCGATCAAAACGAAGCTCTAGGTGAGCTCTACCATTTTAAGAAAGGGACTAGGATGGACAAATTGGTGGATCAAGGTGTATTTGGGCCAAATATTCAAGAACTAGAGAGAGAGAGAGAGAGAGAGAGAGAGATCTGAGATTTAGGGGTTGTTTGGGGTGTCCTAAATAAGTGTACTTTTTGTATTTTTGGAATAAAAAATTGAGGGAAAAAAATATGGATGTTTGGATTAACTTTTTGACTTTTTATGGGAAAATGTGTATTAAAAAATGTATAAATTAGTGTGCAGGGGAAAATTAGGATTAGGAGTTGTGCAGTCGTAATTTTTGAATTTTGGTGAATAGTGATAACTTTTTAAGTAACTTTTTGATTTTTTGGCTTTTTTTTACACTTCTCAAACTTGGCCTTACAGAGAGAGATGTAAAAAAGTGATCCAAAAAGGTGACTTTACAAACTAAAATACGCATAGACCGCTCGAGCGTAGGAATGGTCATTCGAGTGACCAAATACAACAAGTGAGACGGCTCGAGTAAACAAAGTGACCGATCGAGTGAAGAACACCACCATCTCAGTACTTTTGCATACCTGCAAAAGTGCTATGAATTCTAAAAGACCATTCGAGTGCAAGAAGGACCGTTCAAGTGCAAGAAACACCGCTCGAGCAAATAATGCCATACTCCCAGTAGTTTTGCAGACCTACAAAAGTACTGGAAGCTCTCAAAGTTCGCTTGAGCGAACAAGCAAAAATCTAGGCAACACAAATTTGAAAAGACTAACTTTCAACCTGTTTCAAGCACAACTAAGACACTCCGATAACCAAACATAACAAGGAATAAGATGGAAGAAGACCTGAACAACCATCATGGTAAGAAAACCCGGATTCAAGACATTAAACGGATCGGGTTTAAACTAGAGCCACTATAGATTGCGATTTCACAAAGAGTTCTTCGATAATCTAGCTTCTTGGTCTTAAATCTTTAGGTAGGATTACTTTTAACCTTGTATCTCTTTGATTTTAAGATGTTTATGTGGTATTGCCATGACATTGGTGAATTAATAAATGTTGAGTTAAAAAATTGAAGCTTTCTTTCAAAAATAGAAATTTTCCTACAATTTTCTGAAGATTTCTACTATTAGCCCTGAATTATGGAAGTTTTGGTTGAAAACTAAAACTATATGTGTTGGAAGGGCAAAAGCTCCAAGTTTTATGAAAACTCTAATTTTTGAAACTTGGAGATAATGTGATTAATTAAAATTAGGCTTCTATTCTTTAAATTGACTGTCGGATATTAACGTCGAGGGGTATTTGATTTGAGATTGTGAAATTGGGAATGTTAATTGAGATTATGAGGATTGCCACTCTATTTTTACTGCAATTACTTGAATGGTGGAGTTTACTTTTATTTTCCTAGAATGTATAACTCTTGGAAGTTTCGAAAGATTGTTTAATGGGGTGGTAAATAGCATGTTGATCTAGGTAGGGAGTCGGTTTTGGGAAATGGTTGTGTATTGTGTGTAATGCCCATGCAAGGAGTTAAGGTGCCCAATTGCCTCGTCTTGAGCTTATCCCCATACGAATGTGGGAAATTGTTTTTGGGTGTCCATTGGTCTTGCCGTATTGTAATCGGTAAAAGTGAAAGAAAAAAAAAAAAAAACACTGATGATTCCAGGTACCCATTCCTTGTCATATTAATAGCCGGCAAATGTGGAGGTATTTTGGATATAAATTTGTGTATATTTATGTGTTGGGACTCTCCTTAAGGGCTTCATAGTGTATTTACCCCCCGGTATTGAATTGTGAAATTTTGGAATTATGAATTTATGTATTCTTACATGTATTAATATGTTTGGTTGTGATAATGCCATATGAAATTTCAAATAATTTGATACTTTGTTAAAAATATTTATACTAGGCATCTAACTCATTCCAATTTAATAAACTTTCAGGAATGATTGATGTGCAACCACCTCAATGACGAAAAGGTGAGCTCTTTTGTTTTTTGTTGGACTGCGAAGACTCTTGGATGTCTAATGTGGAAGCCCCGATCATTCTGTTTAGGACCATGTGTCCATTTTGTTGTAACAAGGCATTTCCCTGCTTAATTGTAAGCCATTAAAGCATCAGACTTATATCCTCTAACTTATTGAACTACATTAATGTTGATGTATTTATTAGTTGAACTTGGAACGTGTATTTTGATACTGTATTTCAATAAGAAAGATGACTTTTGAGTTAATGTGTTAGTTGTCCTTGTAAGAATTCAGATTAATCATGTTATGGGTAATATTTTAAATTGAATAATTTGGATGCGTTACAAACTCAAACCCGTCCATTTAATAAATGGGCTTACACGGGTTGGGTTGAATTAGATACGGGTTGGGTTGAATTTGATACGGGTTGGACAAATATACCTATTTAACCCTTTTTTTTTTTTCTTTTTCATTCCAAAGATAGCGTTAGTATGTTAGTATAGTTGGATTAAAACTAAAGAGTTCACTGCTGCTCCATCAGTTCGAACTCCTGACTTTCCACTCACCACACCCTGAGGTGTACTTAATAGACCATTGGGCCATACCCCAATGTCTAACTAACCCATTTACTTCATCTTTTTTTTTAATATATATATATATATATATATTTAGACAAATTATTTTTTTTTTATTTTTTTAAAAACCCATCTTTATTGTTTTATTTTTTTAGAATTTTTTTTTATTTTTAAAAATTATTATTTTTTATTTATTTTTGTAATGGCATTTATTCATAAATCATTTTTCGCCTACTTATGTTTTACATTGTCCAAATTATTTTCTTATATTGCAATAAGTCTTATGGTTGACATAGTTATTGAAATATCCCTAATAATAATAAGGTAAAATGCACGTTAATGTTCATATTGATAGTGTGAATGATTCATTATGTGAGCATTCACACTATCAAATTTGTTAAATATGAATATTCACATCACTAAGTTGCTAAGGATTCAACAAATATTTGTAAGGGTAAAATTGTCTATAAATATCTTAAATATAATAATTATGATTTAATGGATCAAACGTCTAAAATAATAAAATTTATTAGAATATAAGAATATCTCATGAATTAATTGTGATACAAGTACTTAAAAATTGATTTTCAAATAATTTTTTTAAAAAAAAAATATTTTTATTTTTAAAAATTATTTTTTATTTTTTTTAACTTTTAAAAGTGATGGCTATATAGACGGGCTTAAACGTGATGCCTTGTCCAACTCAAATAAACCTAATTTTAATTGGGTTGAGGATAAGCAATCCATTTAAGATTATTTATTAATATGGATTTGTTACCTCCAGTCCCACCATTACCAGGTATAGAAAAATATTTTCTTTACAAATCATTTTTTGATAAAATGATTCTACGAAAAATATTCCGTCTAAACAAACAGTGCTGTTCATTCCAATATTCTAAAACATCGTTTATTCTAAAATAAAATATAAATATTTAAGAATAGAGTATGGCCAAGCGCCGTGGAATTGCAATACTAGAGTGCACTTGGAGAGCCATGCACGAATTTTCTTATAAGTGCAAACAAGGGTTTAGCTTTTGTGTGTTCCCTAATCGTAACCCCATGATACTCACCTTCACTAAATTCGGCCACCACTTCCACGCCTTTCTTTTTTAGCGCTTTGCCCAACTCCATCTGTCGGTCCACCATTGGATCTCCCTTATAACCCGCCACCATAACCCGCCACCCCAGCTTCCTCATTTTCTCCCATGATGATTCACTGTCCACCGTTGGATTACAGTACTTGTGATCACGGTCAGCCCCAATTGGCAACGCCAATTCCCACATCAGATCAGCCAAAAACATTGGCAATATTGGATCGTTTATCAACCTCAATTCTGATCCACTCCTCTCGGTCCCACCAAAAGCCGGTTCATGCAATACTAGCCCTCTGATCTTCAGCGGCGCAAGATCAGAAACCTCCGCGGCTGCATGTAGTCCCGCGTGGTAGGCTATGTTTCCACCCGAACTAGTACCCATGATAAAACATCTTGTAATATCAGTGAAGTCACGAAGCCACACATCTTGGGAAGTTCTAATCCAAAGCAACGCATCCATGGCATCGTCGTAGGCTGCCGGCAGACGATGCTCCGGAGCAAGGCGATGCTCGACCGATACGATTGCAACACCGGCTTGGGTCGTCATTTCCACGCAGAAGTTGTGGAAAAATGTTGAGGCTGCACTGTATAAAATGAAGCCACCACCATGGAAGTAAACGATGAGAGGTAGCTTAGTGTATTTTGTGGTAGAAGAGAAAGTATCGAGTGCTTGGCGGGGCATGAATATGCGTACCCAGGTGTTGTGGTGTGGGTTTAGAGGGAGGTCTTTCGTGAGGACAGGGGAGGAAGTGTTTGGATCGGGTGTGGCCAGGGCGATTGGGTTGGGACCGATGCGCGTGATGGTGCCGTTGGGATTGAGGATGATGGCCAAGTTGTCGTGGACTTTCCCGGTGGTATGTGATGATGGGTTGCTTTGATTATTCGACATTTTAAGAGAGTGTGGGTTTAGAAACCAAAGGCAGGCTTTGCAATGGAGTGTGTTTTGGAATACACACATAACTGAAGTTTCATCACATATAAATACTCTGGCGGGAACAGTTGCAACTTGCAATATCATTAAATAAAAGGTCTCTTACCAATAATCAAACATATCATAAATTTTTTTAATCAATAACAAATAAAAAAACAAAATACTAAACAAAAAGTTTGGAAAAATCAATTTCTATTATTGTCTAAAGATGTCAAAGATATTGTGGGTGTTTGGAAAGTGAGTTTTTATGTAAGTTTTTTTAGTTGTAGGATATTATTAGAGAAATTTTTTTTTGTATTTAGGAAGATAGTTGGGTTTTTTTGTGGTTGGGTGTGATATTTGTGAGAGAAAAAGTGAAATTATTATGAGGTTTGTTGTAATATTTTGTTTGGATTTGTTTTTTTTTTTTTTTTCAATAAACTTTGTCTTTTAGTGAAAAAAATATTTTAAAAAAACCCAAAAAAATTATTGTCAAACACCATCATATGAGCTCTCCGTGTAGGTTTTGGTGATCGCAAATTACTTCAAATGAATCTATTTGAAGGCACACTTGCAATGGATAAATTTGTTAGATTTGTATCAGTAGTTCAGTAGATTTCTATCTCGTGATAAGTATCTCTAAAACAGTGTTTGGATAATGGATTTCGAAAGAAATTTAAAAATTCAAAAGAAAAAAAATGAGGGCACACTACAAGAATTAACACTTTTGGCAACAAAAAAATTGTTCGCTAAAGTCAATTTTTGGTCGGCAAAAGTTATCCGCGACCAATTTTTTGGTCGCTACTTTTGGTCGCCAATTGAGGGTCGGCAAAAGTAATTCGCGACCAAAATTGTGGTTGGTCGGCAAAAGTTGGATTTCGCGACTAAATTTTTAGTCGCTAAATGTTTAATTACCGCGACTAATTTATTTTGTCGCCAAAACACTTTGGTCGCGAAAAGTGATATTTTCGCGACTAAAAAGTTGGTCGCCAATTATCACATTCAACGACCAAAAAGTTTGATCGCCAATTGTGACATTCCGACCAAAAAATTTGGTCGCCAATCGTGACATTCCGCGACCAAAAAATTTGGTCGCCAATTGTGACATTCTGCAACCAAAATTTGTTTGGTCGCCAATTGCGACATTTCGCGGACAAAACTTTGGTCGCCAATTGTGACATTCTGCGACCAATATTTTTTGGTCGCCAATTGTGACATTCGCGACTAATCAATTGGTGCTAATTGTGACATTCTGCGACCAAAATTTGTTTTGGTCGCCAATTGGGACATTTTCGCGACCAAAATTATGGTCGCCAATTGTGACATTCTGCAACCAAAATTTTTTTGGTCGCCAATTGTGACATTTCGCGACTAATCAATTGGTCGCCAAAACTATAAAAACCAAATCAATTTTGGTCGCCAATACCCAACAAAATAAACCTGTATATTATAATAATTCATCCAATTTTATTCAATATAATCTGTAAAAAGAAGAAATCATTCAAACAACAAATAAATTGAATCATCACATTCAACAAAATACATATATCAACCATTTCTGAACCTGTTTAATAAAGTCAGCAACAAAAATAAGTTTACATCCGCAAATAATTCGAAACTAACTATTTCATTTAGCATAAAAATTAAACACATAACAAGTACTTGTTATTATGTTTTAAATTTTTATCCATGTACATCAACCCAAAAATATAACTAGTAGTCTACCAATATTTTCTATACACACATCCAAAAATATAACTACTAGTCTACCCTATATATTTCCATATACATCTATACAAAAATATATAATCCTTCCAAAAATACAAAAAGTGCAATTTGTCCTGTACATTTAAGCTTTGTGCACGAGTTCATCCATCTGTACAAAGAAAAAGAGAAATAATGTCAGTTAAAATTGGACAAATATGAAAATGTCCATGAAAAGCAAAGGTCACATTAGCAAATTAAAATGACTACCATTATCAATTGTAATAATAAACAATAGCATTCTTATGTCTATAGAATAAATTGGATGAGCCACAATTCCCGTTTAACCAGTTTGTGACTATTGGATAGTTTTTATTTCTAATCGTTTTTATTTAGAGATAAGTATTAGAAAAAGCAAATACTAATATATTACTTTATATTTATCATGCATGTATGATCATTGATATAAAAAAATGTTTAAAACAAAATAATATTATAGCAGCTCTTTAATAAATTTGATACATCGATGATTAATAGTTTGTATTTATATGTTGACTGTCACCTATAAATACAAACTATGAATTGGTGTTGATAGTCACCACCATATATAGCACACCACCGAAAGCATCCAGACAGATCTGATGCAGACCACCAAAATTGCTCCAGATCAGTCCACCTTCATGACTGATGCAATACTTCACCATGCAGAACCACAAAGGAAGAGAAAAGAAGGAAAAAAAAGAAATAGAGAGGAGCTAATTCAGAGCAGTTTGGACCCCAAACGCCCCGGTTTTGCCTACTTTAACACACTTTTATGTCCTACATAACTAATAATGCGTCCTATCGAAGCGTTGCTTGCTTTCACAAGTTTGTTTGATCTAGGCCGAGGTGACCGCTACGATCTCGGTTGTTTCCAAGCTGTTTCCAACTTTTTTCCCAACCGCTCGTTTTTGCCTTATCTATCACATTTTGGTTTCCATGGAACAGTCACAAATTCTTGTTTAACTAGTCATCCTTGATCAGTGGAACATTACAATGTTTAAAGTTCTATACTGGTCAACATAAACTATAACTGTAAATTCCATCTTTTATTAGTAAACAAAAATTAGTTTAAAGACAATCATTTCTCTACGATATTCTCATCAAACGTTTATTTGCCTTTTACTTTTGAACATAAATATAATCAAATTGGTTTAACACACTTACCAATTACCATGACTATCTATTGTCGAGAATTTGGTAGATTGCGAATTTTCAAAAACTTCCGCCAACATGCTCTGAAGTCCAAAAAGCTGCCGCTGCATCCTCCTACGTTGTCTTGTATTCTCTGCCTCTTTCATTTGTAAAAAAGCTATAAAAAAAATTAAATTAAAATTTAAAAAAAAAAAAAATACTAAATATCACTATTGAATGGATAGCAGAGAGAGAGTGGTTGAGAGATGACTATCAGTTTCACTACTTGCCTACAAAATTAACATACTAAATATGCACTAGTCATTTTGATGACAGAAAAAGATTATAAAATAAAATATAATAAAAAAGAAAAAGAAGAAGAGGAAGAAAGAAGAAAATGCATTAGTTAAGTAGCTTTGCATACACTATGCATTTAATCATAGATGTATATATGCACATAGGTACACATAATACATGCTCGGTATATTGTTTTCTCTTGATCTGTTGTTCATGTTATAACAGGCTGGAAGACATTCTTGATCATAATTTTCTCAAACATGAATGTCTAATTTCTCTCAAAAAAATGTGCCCACCTGAACATAATAACCCACTCGCGAATAGGTTAGTCAAAAGTCAACCTGGTTTACTCCTTCCAATAGCCTCAACTCCATCCATTATGTACAGGAACAGAACTACTCACTTATGTCCAAACTATCTGGGCAAAACTAATGTGTAGTCTAGATTTTTTTTCTGTATTTTGGTATATAACTAGTCAATAGTCTTTCTTCACCAAGAGTGATCGATGGGGCGCCCCTACCACTTGCAACCAAGTTTCTATTTTGTCTTGGGTACTTGATGTTTCTTGCTATTTAAGGCAATTTAGGTACGTTTCATCGACTAGAGAAACAATTTCTTCACACATGACTGCAAAATTCATTAACTAAATTTCTCTCTAAAAATTGGTCTCTAAAATACACTCCCATGCTCAACATTGCTGAGCATATTCATTTAAATGCACATTTTGATTGTGAGAGAAGCCATTGACAAAATCAAAATTGGATGACAACATTCAATACTTTCTATGCTATCCAATGAACATAACTGCAAACTATAAAGAGTATTCCAGGAAAGAAGCAAAGAGAATGTACACATGAATAACGACTTGGCCAAAAGGTGATCAAAAAGAAAATAGGACTTATAAATTCATAATGTCATTCATAACAAATTAACAATAATCATTATCTTCATTGCCAAATCATTGTCAATCCTCTTTCTCTATCCACAATGCAAATCTTGATTAGCCTTTCCTAGTCTACTGTTACAACAAATTCAACTGGCTAGCAGAAGCAATCCAATCTCCCTTGATTCTTGCTAACATGAAAAGAACATTGATGTTAAAATGATATTAAAAGAACAATTATTTACTCCTGCTTACTCAGAAGCAATCCCAACTCCTTTGAATCTTGCTACATGTAATGGAATATATTAAGAAGTGAACATGAAAATTATTTAATAATGTTTTTGACCATGGAAAAGATTAGGAGTGACTCACCAACACCCTTACAAACACCCGATATTTATGCATATGCTCAAAGCATAGAATAAATATATAATACATAATAAAAATAAAACATTTAAACGAGTAGGAGAATACTAACCTTCACCAAGAGCTGCATTCCAAATTGTTTTGGTATTGGACGCCTATGATCCATTGTCCGCTACAATAGGAGATTCTTGAGATTTTTACAAAAGATGCCTATTGACATGTACTTTCCAAATTTAAGAAGAGTCCATGTAGCATACAAAGCAACTACAGTCTATGTGGCTAATAAATAACCTGAAGAAGAAGGGAAAAAACAAGGAGAAAAATGGAACACAATTCAAACCACATAAGTAGTATCCTAATTCAAAAGATCAATGGTACTCTTCCATCCCATAGCAGTTTTATCTGCAGAACTATCTTGCATAGGAT